GCCCATTGTACGTTCTTCCCTCCTTTGTCAAATGTTAATTGCTCATACAGATGTGGGTTTATTTTTGGGCTCTCTATTCTGTTCCACTGATCTATATGCATGTTTTAATGCCAGTACCACGCTGTTTTGGTCACTATAGTCTTGTGGTATAGTTTGATAACAGTTAGGGTGATATCTCCAACTTTGTTTTTCTTTTTCAAGATTGCTGTGGCTATCCAGGATCTTTTGTGGTTCCACATAAATTTTGGGGTTATTTGTTCTAGTTCTATAAATTATAGCACTAGTATTTTTATAGTAATTGAGTTGAATCTATAGATTGCTTTGGGTAGTAAGGACATTTTAATGTTAATTTTTTCCTATCCATGAACACAGTATATACTTCCATTTACTTGTCTCTTCTTCAATTTCTTTCTTCAGTTTCTTTATAATTATCCAAGTACAGGTCTTTTACCTCCTTGGTTAAATTTATTCCTAGGTATTTTATTTTTGATGCAATGTAAAGGGGATTGTTTTCTTAGTTTCCCTTTCTGATAGTTCATTATTGATTTAAAAAATACAACTGATTTCTGAATATTTATTTTGTATCCTGCTATTGGACTGAATTCATTAATCAGTTCTAGTAGTTTTTTGGTGGATTGTTTAGGGTTCTCTATGTATAGTATCATATCATCTGTGAATAATAAGTTTTTTAAAAAAGATTTTATTTATTTCTCTTTAGAGGGGAAGGGAAAGAGAGGAGAGAAACATCAATGTATGGTTGCCTCTCGTGTGTCCCCTGCTGGGAACTGGCCCGTAGCCCAGGCATGTGCCCTGACTGGGAATTGAACCACAATCCTTTGGTTCACAGGCCCATGCTCAATCTACTGAGCTATACCAGCCAGGGCTTGAATAATAAATTTACTTCTTCCTTTCTAATTTGGATCACTTTTATTTCCTCTTTTTGCCTGATTGCTGTGGTGAGGGCTTCCAGTACTATGCTGAATAAGAGTGGTAAAAGCAGGCATCCCTGTCTTGTTCCTATTCCTAAGGGAAATGCTTTTGGCTTTTCCCACTGAGTATGATGTTAGCTATGAGTTTGTCGTATATGACCTTTATTATGTTGAGGTGTTGTCCCTCTATTCCCACTTTCTTGAGAATTTTTATCATAAAGGGGTACTGGATTTTATCAAATGCTTTTTTGGCATCTATTGATATGATCACACAATTTAATAAAAATCCTCACCCATTCTCTCATGACTTGAGAGAATAAGAAGGGAGCAGGGAGGGAGGGAGAAGGAGAGGGAAAGGGAAAAAGGAGGGAGAAACATTGATGTGGGAGCAATATCGATCAGTTGCCTCCTGTATGTGCCTGACCAGAGATCAGCCCTACAACCTAGGTGTGTGCCCTGACCAGGGATTGAGCCTGCAACTTTTTGCTGTAGGGGATGGCACTCCAACCAACTGAGACAGACGCACAGGCACAGAGAGCAAACTGATGGTTGCCTGATGGGAGGGAGGTTGGGGGTGCCGGGTAAAAACGGTAAAGGGGTTAAGAAGTACAATATGGCAGTTATAAAGCAGTCGCCAGGCTATAGAGTGGAAGGTTCACTGTGGCAGGTGGTAGACTGATAGGGAATATAGTAAATAATATGATAGCTACGTATGGTGTTAGGTGAGGACGACACTTTTTGGAGGGATCACTTTGTAAAGTATCTGATTGTCTAGCCCTGTGCTGTAATACGTGAAACGAATACAAAACAAGGCTGAATGCAGCCTATAATGGAAAAATAAAAAATAAAAATAAATAAAACTTATGAATTGTTTTTTAAAAACTGACGCTGGGGAAAACATAAAAAGAAATTACTCACTTGACAGTCCCATGGTTGCTCTCTTTAAGGGGCTTAGGGACAGCAGCACACTGAGAGGGTTTCAGCTGTGTTTACACAGGACCCTTGGTGACAGCTCCGACTGCCTATAGAAGGACATAACACTCGAGGTGCAGGAACATTCGCAGGTTTTCATGCCTCCGTGTCTTTGAGGATGCTAGCCCTTTGTCCTTCTGCATATGTCTCCTTCCCAGGCTCATTCACAGCCTTACCCCAGTGCCCAGTACAGGGATGCTAAATAATTAACCAATAAATAAGGTACGTTTTAAATTTAAAAAATTTTTTTTAATGTGCCTCAGGCATGAACCAGCTCTGGCCACCAATGCAGGCAACAAGCTAGGATGAACTAAGGACTGTACGACTGCTTTGCCCTGACTGATGTAAGAGCAACATCACCAATCAGGTGTGTCCTGGCCCATTACCAGGGGGTAGAAGTTACTTATTTTAGGCAGTCATATTTAGTTTATCTTTAAATCTATTTAAAAACGTTTTATATTTTAAACTTATCAGCGAGCTTTTCCTGGCTCAAAGAGGGAGCTTTGTAAATAGTGCCTATAAAGAAGGATGTCACCAAGGTCTTTTATAGAATTTACCTAAAATTCTAAGACTAGGTTAGTTCAGGGTAGTTTAACAACTACACTTTTTTTAGTGCCTAATAGAACTTCTCTCAAATTACACCACTGCAGGTGTTCTGTATTTTAAAACCAAAACATGAGACCCTATATTTATCCCTGTTAAATGTCAACTAGTTGGATTCCAGCCTGTGAAGATCAGTTTGGATTCTAATTCTGTCACTGAACTTTGTTGTCCCAGCTCTGTGGCTCCTTGTTTAAGCAGCCAAGGGTGATGGTGACCTCTCCCCGGCATGGAGGCTACAAGCAGGCCTCGAGCAAGAAAAGCAGCGGAAGAAAATGTAGAAGAGACTGAAAGCAGCAGATTAGGTGAAGCAGCAAGGAAAAAAATACAGGAAGAGCAGGGAAAAGCAAAGAAATACTTCTAGGGTGGCGGACAGGTGATAATAACTACCATCCCAGGAGGATATTAACAAACAATACTGTCATATAGATACTGTGATCTGTCTGAGATCCTAAAAGAAAGCTCTTCAAATTATAATAAGTTACAAAAGCAAAAAGCAGGAGAATATTTACAGTAGGATTGTTTTTCTTTTTATCATTTTTTGGAAAAATATAGTCATATCTACTGGAGAGAAACCCAGGAAGGCTTTAATTGTAATTTACACTTTCTGTACAGGGCCATTCTCCCATCTATACTTGTAATACTTGAAAGCTTGTTCCAGGTGGACTTTTGTCCCAGCTACAGAATACTCAAGAACCAGTGGAGAGGAACACTGACCGAGATCCTTCTAGGACCCAATTAACTAAAAATACAAAACAAAAACAAAACATGGTATGTAGTGATAACTTGTTTTCCCAAGGCAGCTCTATTCAAATTCCTCTAACATTTGGTCACTCACCACGCCACTGCTGTGGGCACTCTCGCAAGGGCTCACCCTCTCAGACACCCTCCATGAGCAGCTGGTTACCTTCTTCACTTTGTAAATAAGAAAGCCAGAAGGTAAACAATTGGCCTAGTATCTATTTCCAGCACAAGAATCGTAAGTCTGCCAACAGGCAAAATTTCACAGTTTGCACGAGACCTTAAAAAAAGTTTGACACAGGTGTACAACAATTTCAGGACACGGAGCCTAGTATCAGACCATTATCTCAGTGTATCAAATCATTTCAGCTCTGGTGGGTGTGGCTCGGTTGGTTGGGGCATCATCCGGTAAATGAAAGCCTGCTGGTTCTATTCCCAGTCGGGGCATATACCTAGGTTATGGGTTCAGTCCCTGGTTGGGGTGCGTGTGGGAGCAGCTGATGGATGTTTCTCACATCAGCGTTTCTCTCCCTCTCTTTCTACCTCCCTCTAAAATCAATACGCATGTCCTTGGGCGAGGATTAAGAAAAAGAAACCATTTCACAAAATAAGATAGCTACCTAAACCAAACATATATTGGGCTGTGGGTACAGTGTCCCCTTTTCAGAGTGACTTTCCAGAGGCCTCTACAGCAAACAGGTGCTCATGAACTGTTTTCAGTTCAAGCTCGATGTATTCCTTGAGTTCTGCTTTCCTTACTCACATGTAAAAGACTTCAAACACCAACCTCTTTCTTTAAGTATGAATAATAAACAATATATAAAAGATTGGTTCAATCCGGTTGTATGTGAGACTCACCTGGCAAGAAAAGCCCCACCCTCACCTCTCAGAGACTCTAGTTTAACATTTGAGGTGGGCGCCTGCCTAGGTGTTTTTAAAGTCCAGCCTGGGCTGAGAAGCCCTGATTAAGACCAGTGAACACCTTGCTCCTATAATTTACACAGATCCCTTTGGAAGACTCTATCTATTAAGAACATCTCCTAAGAGCTACACTACATAATCTAATCCTTGAGGGGACGTGTTTACAGATTCTCTGTGTACTGAGCTGTGCTACATTTCAAAAATTCTTCAACTTGTGTGCCGCCAGAGTTTTTAGAGGGTATTATGGCAAGTGATGAGATATCTGAGTATTTAGTCAGAAGCACAACCTCTTTTCCCTTAGATCGTCAAATAAAAAAATGACAGCAACCAAGACAATAGTTGTCCGGTGTGAATGAAACAACATTATACCTACTTTTTGTCAGATCAGCAAAAATGTGTATTTTTGGTGTGCCACAGAATTTTAGTAGTTTACCTGTGCCAGGAGATGAAAAAGGTAGAAAATCGCTACCTTTTCAAAGGCCCTGACACGGGACATTTCGGCAGTTCTCGGCTCCCATCACGCGGGCTCCGAGCATCCCATCCACTCTAAGGCCCTGACAGCGGCTACCCAGACAGGCCCCCGCCCGCCGGGGCCCTCTGTCGCTGCGGGTAACTGTTTCCACAATGGGCGCACCTGGTGGTCCACTGGTAGGGCCATCGCGTCCCGACACCGAACCGCCTGCCCCAGCCAACTGTGCTCCGCGTAGCGCGCCGTCCCCACTGGTGTCCGGTGGAGGGTGGACCCCCGGTCAGCAGCGCCGCCAAGTCCCGGGGAGGTCGGGGACGCGGTTGACAGAGCGGAGCGCGCGACCTGCCCGCAGGAACCCCCGTCCACACCTGGAAGTGCTGCGGAAGCGAATGCGGAGGGTTAGCATCTCGGCGGTTGAGGCTGGAGCGGCGGCAGCGGCTCCCTTCGCCGGGCCGGTCCGGCGCACAGGCAGCCGCGCCGACCCTCAGGCGCAGGCGCAATGACTCTGGTTTGCCGTGAGCGTTCCCTCGGCTTTCGAATCGCTGTGTTCCCTTCGCCCTCCGCCTGAGGGGCCGCGAAAAGTAGTCCAGGAGTAGCGGCACTTCGATACCCTGGAGGAAAGGCGAGTCTGCACCGCCCTGAGCAGCGCTCAGACCAGCCTTGGCCAGGTTGTACGTAGGGCGGGCGGCACTCTAGCTGCGGGGTGCCTGAGCCCTGGGCCGCTGCACGAGTACGTGATAGTGGGCGTGGGCTGCCTTCAGCAAATTCCGTGAGTGATAGAGCTGTTGGGAGAGGGAAACCGAATGACGGCCGCCCTTGCCTAGAGCCATGCATGTGTAGAGAAATTCTACCTAAGTCTCTGGACCGTTGCGTTCAAAGGCACTTTCTAAAATCCCAAACTGTACTCAAAACAGCGTAAAAGGTGGCTTCAAAGTACGTGTGACAGATGTGTTCCTGCTCAAGGCTCGGCACTTGCTCCTTTAGGAAAAATGTTTCATACCTGATAATTTCTAGAGAATAATGTCAGAATATCAATGCGAAGAGTCTGCAAAGATCCCATCTGGCAGCACAGGACCAACGGAGACCACTTAGGGTCACCTGGATTGCCTGTGGTCGCACAATACCTACTAAGTAGTAGTGGCCAGTTAGTTGTTTTGCGAGCTACCATTTGAAGTGTGTTTTGAATGCAGATGCCTCAGCTGCATAAATAATGTTTGTCATTTTTCATTTTCTCCTTCCCAAATGATGTTAGTTTGGTCTTCCTAAACTCTGAGGTCCCCATGAAACTTGCATCCTGGGGAGCAGTGGGCAGCGGCTGCTCGTCCTCGGCTTACCCCTGCTCATTCATCTTTCCAAGGCTCCCCTTTTCTCTGATTTCCCAGTGAGCTGACAGCAGCCCCACTCTTGGCTCACTTCTTTCCTACAACATTTCTAGGGAGCCAAAGCAGAGCACCGTCTGGACTCTCTCCTGTTGCTTCTTCTATTCCAAGTCCTTCCTTTGTCTCATTGTCCCCAGCCTTAATAAATGTACTCACAAAATCAGGTCAGAGCTTTGAGAAGAGAGACACAGAGTCCCAGCCTGGAAAGATATTGGCACCAAATAGTCTGCTTGCAAACATGTCAGCAAGCATAGTTAATGGGAAGATGTGGGGCATCAGTGGACAGGGGTAGGGAGCTGAGCAAGCATGGCCTTAGGGGGTGGGTTGAGGGAAAAGCAAACAGTGGGTACCAGCGACAGCAGAAAGGGGTGGGACAAGTTTGGGGCCATTATTTCTTCAAATATATTTTTTTCGGTCACCACCTTCTCTCTCTTTTCCTTTGAGAACTTCAATTATTTGTACATTAAGGTCCTTTACTTACTTTACTTCCATGGGTTACTGATGGTATTTTCTTTTCTTTCCTCTTTGGATTTTTTCCTTTGTTCTGGAACATTTTTATTGCTCTACTTTCAAGTTCACTACTCTTTTCTTATACAATGTCCAATCTGCCATTAATTTTATCCCATGCATATATTTCATGTTATAGTTCGCATCTCTAGAAGTTTGTGAATTTCTAGTTCTCCAGCTAACTTTCTGAACATAAGGAATAGTGTTATAATAATAACCATTTTAAGGTCCTTTTCTGCTAATTCTGCTAGCTTTGTAAATTCTAGGTCAGTTCAGATCTATCAGTCAAGTCTGAGTATTCCCATTTTGGATTGTGCTTCTGCTTCTTTGCATGCCTGGCATTTGTTTGGAGGCCAGACATTGTGAACTTTACCTTGTTGGATGTTGCATACTTTTGTATTCTTATAAATTCTCTTGAACTTTGCTTTGTCATATATTCCATTACTTGGTAAGTTGATCCTTTGGGTCTTGGTCTTATTTTTTGTTAGATGGATCTCGAGTAGTGCTCTAATTATTCTCCTAAGACTTCCCTACTACTCTACCCCAAGCCTATGAGTTATGAGTTTTTCTAGCCTGGTTGGTGGGAACAGGCACTATTTCCAGCCCTGGGTGATAACTAGGCAATTTTCACGATCTAATCCTTTCAGATGGTTCTTTTGCCTGGCCTTGGCTGTTCCCACACGTGCATGCACTGACCTGCACTCATTTGAGTACACCAAAGTGTTCCCTCTGCTGAGCTCCAGGGTTCTCTTCATGGAGCTTTTCCCTCTCTGGTATTCTGCTGTGTGAACTCCAGCTGCTTTAGTCTCTCTAGGCTTCATTTCTTCAACACAAGTGGTCAGCTGGGCTCCACTTGACCTTCCCCTCCCTTTGCTGTAGCTTGGAAACTCTATCCAGGTAGTAAGCTGGGGCAGTCGTGGCTTATTCTGTTTTGTTTTTCCCATCTCTCGGGGATCACCATTCTTTGTTTTCTGACAACCAGTGTCTCGAGACGACTGTTTCATGTATTTTGACTGCTTCCTTTGGTTGTTTCAAGCAGAAGGGTCAATCAGCTCCCTGTTACTCATTTGGTTGAAAGCAAAAGTCTCCAACTTTTCTGCTTCTTATCTTCCTTTCCTCTTCAAATAGTGTACAGACTGCCAAAGTTTTCTTCAACAGAGCATTTGCCAAGTGCCAGGACTTTGCCTGCATGATCCTGGTTAGTTCTCAGAACCATGTAGGTTTCCTTAACCTCAGCTCCATTTGACAGCAGAAAAGTGAAGCCCATATTTTTGCTGGTTTGGGCCTCGGACAGGCCAGTTAGTCCTTCAGCTGTGTACATCCTGTGGCTGCAAAGTTCTCAATGTCTCGCTGCAGAGTTGTTAGGGGAGCTGCCTGACCCTCAGAGCATCTTTGGCTCCTTATTCCTTAAAGAAAAGTTTACGCTTGCAGCCTGGCCTTGGAAGTATCCATGCTACAATGCAGCCTCTGTGTGCTGGATTTGCCAGGCATGCATGTGTGCTGGGTCTCATCCGGCTGCCTGACATATGAGATGGGTAAGATGACCTCTAGGCAGGGAAGCAGCCAGAGAGGTGTCAAGGGCCAGAGTCACCTAGGCTTTCTGATTCCAAGTCCGGGCCTTCTTCTCTTCCTCTGACCCAGGATCACACACAGCTGGCAGGGAGGTAATGATGAGGTCCATGACACGGGTGAAATTGCTCGGCTCTGACCATATTTGTAGATTCTGAAATTCTAGCTAACTTTTCTCCTATGAGTTAGCATTTAGACTACTAAGAAAATCCCAGCTTCCAGATAATTCTTCAGAAAATGTGAGTCTTTAATTACTGATTTCCTTCCATGAAATCGCCAAGTCAGCCACAGTCCTTGGTGCCCGGTGTGATCAGGCACCTGAAGCACAACACAGCCAGAACCAAGGGCTTCAATGCCTGGCATGGGAGGAGAAGCATGCGAGGTGGCCTGCCGGGAAACCCTAGCTCTAAGATTCTGCATGACCAGGCAAAGTGACCTCTACTTTTCAAAATGTGCAACATGAATTTCTTTTAAAAAAGATTTTATTTATTTATTTTTAGACAGAGGGGAAGGGAGAAAGAGAGGGAAACATCAGTGTGTGGTTACCTCGTGTGTGCCCCCTACTGGGGACCTGGCCTGCAACCCAGGCATGTGCCCTAGACTGGGAATTGAAGCAGCAACCCTTTGGTTCACAGGCCAGCGTTCAGTCCACTGAGCCACACCAGTCAGGGTGAGCAAAATGAATTTCTGCATGGAAGGGCTGGAAGCGGGGCAGGACTAGATAATATCAAAGATCCTTTCTGGCTGTGATGTTCTGTCATTCCCCATATCAGGAGGGATCCATAGCTGGAGGAGAAAGGAAGAAATGAGAAGGAAAAAGGCAGAGGAAACCACGATGATTTGATATCCAATGCGTGTTCATTTATTTTACACTTACAAAAAAAATCACCCACCCTCTCCCCCATCCCTCCCCAAACAGTCTCTTTTTACAAACATTTAAAAATTAAAACCAAATGAAGATAGACAAGTTAATTTCAGTACAATTATTTTTCAATGTAGCTGTCATAATTAGAGTTTAAATTTTTTCCTACAAGTAACCAATGTCCAAGTGACTTATAGGGAAATCCTGATTATTGGCCAAAAGGAAAATTCCATATTACAAGTTAGCAAATTCTAGTACAAAAATAGTCTGTGTGTTGGAATACCCTTTCCTTTTACATAGGTCTTGCATCAGTCTACTGACTGCATAGTACACTAACATTTCAGGGTTCTCTCTCACAAATGGCTCATTAGTCATAGCTGAAGCAGCACGGCACGTGCAGTGGCAGGGGCTAGTGTCCACCTCTGGACCGTGCTGAAGACGGTAGGTCTGGGAGTGCCTCTTTGACTCCAGGGCAGCAGGGCAGGGCCCCAGCCCCTGCTCCGCATGGGGGTCCTGGAGGGAGGGACGAGTAGCGGGCAGAACCGACCCCTTCCAAGGGAGCAGCATCAGGCCCGGAGCACAGGGGAGGTCTACCCAGTTTGCTGGGCTGGTGCTGGTGCAGGACAGCCCACCTCCTGCCAGTGTCTCCTTGACCTACTGTAGCCCGACAAGGTGAGAGGTGGCCCTGCTCGTCATCAGTGGCAAGAGTGTGGCCTTTCCCTTGCTGTGGCAGGTGTGGGCAAGCTATTTGTCCCTCAGGATGTCGAGCTGTTCCTGACACTCGGTGAAGAGGCGCTGGAAGCGGAGGTTCTGCCCGATGACTGGCAGCAGCTCCTTTAGTAGCTCCCTCTTCCGCAGACCCTGTGGACATAGGAGTGACAACTCATTGTGTGTCAGTGAGAAGACCTACACTGTGGGGGGCTTTCCTGGCCTAATAGAGACCCTTGTGTCTGCCCATCTGACTCCCAGGTACCCCTTGGAGAAACCAGAGGTGGGTGAGAAAAATTTCTCTGCATGTTAGGAAGCCCTGGGAGAACTGAAAGGCTGACCTGGGGCATGTGGGATGGAGCGGCAGGGTGCAGGGGAGGGATACAGTGCAAAGATACTGCAGAGAAAACCAGAGAAGCTTCTGCTTGTTGGTTGTCCCCTAAGTCTGTTGGCACAGTCATCACTAGCCTTTGACCATACTGTTCAGTGGCCACAGTAGCCTGGCCTTCCAGAGCAGGATCAGTATAGATACCAGGGCAGAGGGATAGGTAGATGGCCACCTGGGAGGGGCTGCTCCCTCATGCAAATGCACTCCAGGGGCCTGAGATCAAGCCTAGGGGTAAGGAGGCTCCTGGGGGCAATGACTGGCTTTGGTTCTACAGTCCTGGGGTGTCTGCCCTTGGCTCTTGCCCACGCCCCCTCCATGCCTACGTGCACTGGCACCAAGGTCTGCCTGGGCACTTTGGCAACATGCACTGCCAGACAGGGTCTCCACTGCACAGAACCCTGAGAAGCACAGTTGCCGCAAAGGGAAAACCACCAACCGACAACACTGACCACCAGATGAGAAGGTGTAAGGTGTTAAAATTGACACGGTAACAAGACAAGGAATTACAAAAAAGAAAAAAGTGTAGATATTAAGTTTGGGCAACATGGTGGTTGAAGGAGATGGGATTAGCAGGAGACCGAACACTGCTGAAGACCAAGTCAAGTGGGATCAGATGGAGGAGCAGCCGCTGCTTGAGCAGGAAGGCACACAGAGGGGAACTGCAAGAGGAGAGACTGTACAGATAAAGTGAAGGCAAGTGGAGCAGAGCAATGGGCCCAACATCTACACGAGGCCCACATGAGGGAGACACAGAGGAAGGAAATATTTGAAGAAATAATATGAATAGATTCACCTAATTAAAGGAAAATGAATTGCCTTAGGTTGAAAGGCTCCATTGAGTACTGATGATATGAAAAACTGGTATTTAGACACATTATTAAAATGAAATGTAGGGGAATCTGTGAATATTGAACACAAATTTTTTTTCAAAATTTCTAAAAAATAAGAGCACATCAGCTACAAAGGAAGAGATACCAAGATTCATAATAAAGTATTACTTTATTTTATTTAAAATTTTTTATAAAATTTAGAGAGAGGGGGAAGGAGGGAGAAAGAGAGGGAAAGAAACCTCAATCATGTGCCTCTCACCTCCCCCCACAACTAGAGACCTGGCTGGCAACCCAGGCATTTGCCCTGCCTAGGAATGGAACTGGTGACCTTTCACTCTGCAGAATGATGCTCACCCACTGAGCCATGCTGGTAAAATTCAGGTAGTATTTTATATATACTGGAGCCCTGGTGTGGCTCAGTGAATTGAAAGTTGGCCTGTGAACCGAAAGGCAGCTGGTTCAATTCCTGGTCAGGGCACATGCCTGGGTTGTGGGCCAGGTATCTAGTTGGAGCACATAAGAGGCAGCCAATCCATGTTTTTCTCACACATCAATGTTTTTCTTGCTCTCTATCTCTTTCCATTTTCCTCTCTAAAAATAAATAGAGTTAAAAAATTATATATATTGGAACAAAATCTCACAATCTACTTTTTTATTCAGCTGAACAGTTATTCACATAAGAGGTTGTAATAAAAAATATTCTTAGGCTTGTAAGACCTCAGGAAATTTCCCACAGAACGATCCATCCTGAAAATGTCCTGGAGTAAATGCTCAAAGTAAGAAAAAAATAAACAGAGATAATGCTAAAAGAGGTATGAAAATCAGTGTGATCAACTCTCTTGCTAAAGTTTATGCTGGTCTTTAAAAAATGTAAACAAAAAATGTAAGTGGTTTCAACTTGTGATAGAAAAACAGCTGGTCCCTTGTCTAATTAGATCAAACAAAAGACAGCCACATGACGCTGGCCAGAAACACACAAACAAACACAGATAGAGAAATGTTAAAAAGTTAAAGATGGAGAAAGATATGTAAGTAAATAAGTAAAAGAGAGCCTGTGTTTTATAATTATCAGACAAAGTAGACTTTTAAACAAAACCATCACTGGAGAAAGAGAAAGTCAAGAGAGAGGGACACAGCCACCCTCGTGGGGAGCTTTCACTGCACATCCCATTGATGAGGGTCCAGAAAGGCAAAACTCTGCAGGTCCAGGTAATTCAAACAGAACATGTAAACACGACCATTAGGACGTATATAGGATGAGGCACCCACAAAATCAGTAACACAAATTTTTCTTTGGCACACATGGAAATGTGAAAAATTGCTCTAAAAGCACAGCTTGACAAAACAACAGGTCTTACACTGATTGTGGGTTGCCTTGGGCCAAATTCATCTTACCATCTCTTTTGTAAATAATTTTATCAAAATGCAGTCATACCTCCCTATTTGTTTACATATTGTGTTATAACTGTAGGCTTAAGTAGTTGCAAGAGAACATGTGGATTTTCAAAGCTGGAAATATTTATTTTTTTGTCTTTTACGTGAAAAGTTTGCTGACTCCTGAGGTGGCGCAAAGCCCACCCCTGATATAGAGCATATTCTGTCTAAAACACAACTGAATAAAACTCATGGATCAGACTATTAATTAACATTAGATAATTGAAATTAAAAATGATTTACAAGTAAATGGAAATAAAACATTAAGCACTGTAAAACCAGTGGAATGCAGCAAAAGTGGGGCTTACGTAGGGACACTTACAAATATGAAACAGATTATATTATAGAACATGAAAAAACGACAATCAAATGTCCAACTTAAGATATAAAGGGGAGGAAAAAGAAGAAAAGACACCAGAAAACATTTTTATAAAGCAGGAGGAAGATGATGAATAAAAAAATTTATCAAGAAACAGAAAGCTCCAAGAATATTAGGAATTAAAAATATACGGCAGATATAGAAAAGAAAAATAGCACTAACAACAACTTTATGCCAACAAAGTTGAACATTAGAGAAAACAGACTAATTCCTAGAAAAATATAATTTATTTAAACTGCCACAAAAAGAAACAGGAAATGGGATTTCATTCTTACTATGAAGAAAGCATCAGATATACTAGAGCTTAATTAATTAATTAAAGATTTTATTTATTTATTTTTAGAGAGAGGGGAAGGGAGGGAGAAAGAGAGAGAAACATCAATGTGTGGTTGCCTCTCATGTGGCCCCTACTGGGGACCTGGTCCACAACCCAGGCATGTGCCCTGACTGGGAATCGAACTGGTGACCCTTTGATTCACAGGCCACCCTCAATCCGCGGAGCTACACCAGCCAGGGTATATACTAGATTTTTAAACTGATGTCTAAGAAACTTCTAAGGAACGAATTTTTTTCCAATCTTATATAAACTCAGAGAATAAGAAAAGAGGAACTATCCCTAATATATTCTAAGAGGCAAATGACCTTGATTCTAAACCCACCCCCCAAAAAGGACAGAATGAGAACAGAAGATCCCAGGCCAATGTGACTCATGAAATCAGATATAAATCCTCTATAAATTAGCAATCAATTCTAACAATAAATAAAGAAATAATTTTGACCAAGTTGAGTTTATCCAGGGAAACATGGAAAATTTAAAAACTTATAATTTACTATATTAATAGATCTTAATATTAATAACAATAAGGCATGAGGCTTGGAAAATAAGAAATGAAATCATTATTTGAGACGATTGCTTACTCCACATAGAAAACACAGAACCACTGACAAATTAATAAAAATAATAGCAGTATATATAAAGATAGCTCATGACTTAGTGATTATTTGAGATGATTTCATTGCTTATTCCACATAGAAAACAGAACTGTTGACAAATTAATTAAAAAAATCAAAGTCAAACCCTGGCTGGTGTGGCTCAGTGGTTGAGTGCTGGCCTGTGAATCAAAGGGTCGCCAGTTCAATTCTGTCAGGGAACGTGCCTGGGTTGTGGGCCAGGTCCCCAGAGGTGGTGTGCGAGAGGCAACCACACATTGATGTTTCTCTCCCTTTCTCCCTACCTTCCTCTCTGTCTAAAAATAAATAAACAAAATCTTTAAAAAATCAAAATCAAATGCATTATATGCAGCAGCTATGAATAATTAGAAAACATAAAACGATATATCATATCATAATGGCCACAACTGTAAAATACCTAAGAGTAAATCTAACAAAAGATATGCATGGCCTATGCGCTGAATACGACAACACTTTACTGAAGGAATGAAGGAAAACCTAAATGAACGAAGAGTGCTGATGGGAAGAGTGGCAAGAAGAAAAAATAGACTAATTTGTAGGGCAGAGCCTGCAAAAGGCAGTAGTGGTCACCATGGCTTGTAAGAGCTGCATGGGAACTGCAGGCCCAGAGGCGCCTGGGAGCAAGAGATAATGGGTAGAATACCAGAACATCTGAGGTCGTAGAAAGGAGCAAGAATGAGACTTTCAAGAAAATAAAAATATTGAAAACAGCTGCATATATGGAGAAATGGGGAAAAAAAACCCAAAACACGCAAAGGCCTAGAAAAGACCCCCCCCCCCAAAAAAAAAGGCTTGAGGGGACGATGAGCTTCCCTCTGGGCTGAGTAGTGAAGCCAGTCTGGAAAGAAGGCTATTTTATTCAAATGCCCAATATTTAACAAAGGCCACAAGGCACACAAAGAAACAAGGAAACTAGGCCCATCTGACAGAACAAAATAAATCTCTAGAAACTCACCCTAAAGAAACACAGGCCTGGAACTTACATGAAAAAGAATTTAAAACAACTGTCTTAAATATACTAAAAGAGAACACGAATAAGACACATGTATGGAATCATTAAAACTATATGTAAACAAAGGGACGTTATCAACAAAAAGATAAAAATTATAAAAGAAGAATCAAACAAATTCTGGAGCTTAAAAACAGAAAA